AATAGTCAATCAAAATGCTCTTCATTTTCCATAGTTGTAAGCCTAGCTGTTTGTTGTGTTACAGTTCATACTGTCTAAAGTGCGTTTATCATGTTAAACTTAACAGTGTTAAAGTGCACATCATTAATGTTAGAGTATAATTTAGCATTCCCACATGGTATATTATACTGCAGTTTACTCATTCTTTGCAATGCATTCAGCTAATTAGCATTTCTCTGTAATGACAATTGTGCCAAATGGTATGTCCCGCTTGGTTTATGCTATGTATGTGCACACTCCAGAAAGAACTTACTCCTTGAGGACAATAGAACTACCGCTCTATCTAAAGAGAGAGAAAAGCTCCATTTCACTAAGATGTTGCATTTTTTTATTTGATGAGTAAAAATACTTAAATATAATATGCTCTTTGCAGTAATACTTACTGCTGGTGTTTGGGGCACCATTTATACAATAAAAATAAATGTGATGTCTTAAGACTGCTATAGGATGTAACTGAAACAATGCTATGATTATCAATAATAATATAAGGGTCACAGACCCTGAGTTTTGCTTCTCTTCACCTCTAACCTAAACACTGTACACACTGAGCTGTGACCTGTAGCCAGACATTACCAGTAGCTTCTGGTGGGGATGGGAATTGTCTAAAGTGCGTTTATCATGTTAAACTTAACAGTGTTAAAGTGCACATCATTAATGTTAGAGCATAATTTAGCATTCCCACATGGTATATTATACTGCAGTTTACTCATTCTTTGCAATGCATTCAGCTAATTAGCATTTCTCTGTAATGACAATAAAATTGAAATTGTTACTAATATATGAATTACTTATATAATTTGTATCAGAAAAAGTACATTGTATATTATGCAGTATAGTCTACATCATTCTGACTTTAAACTTTAAAGTCAGAATTCTGAGTTTAAAGTCAGAATTCTGAGAATAAAGTCAGAATTCAGAGATTAAAGTCAGAATTCTGAGAATAAAGTCAGAATTTAAAAAAAAAATTATGCAGTGGCCCTAATTAAAAAAAATTTATGCAGTGGCCCTAATACTCTTCCGTATTATAACACCTGCTGAATACATCTAATATTTACACATTTGCCCGAGGAGGAATGATGGGGGTAGTTACATTACTATTTTCCATAACAAATAGGGCCCTTCCATAACATTATCTGACGACGTTAACAGATAGATAGCGCTAGCTATTTATTGATTAGCAAACCATGTTGTTATGCTAATTGTCTTTTCTGAAGTCTAGTTTTAAGAATAGTGGAAGTTAAACTTTTTTTCTTCCTCCATTTCTGGCGCCCCCTGGATGTACGGCGCCCTTAGCATTTGCCTATACTGCCTATGCCACGGGCCGGCACTGCATTCCCGCCTTAACTTCTGTGTTTATGAAGCCCATATGTTTCAGTTTTTTTGTGAAATTGTCATAAATATATGAATTCAATTATATGTTTATTATTGAGGTTACAGTTAAAGGTAGTTGTGGTATCGAGCTACATTATATTCAGAGGTGTTCCTAATATCCTGACCCTCTCATTTATGTAGCTGGGGAGGACAAAAATATAGAGACACCTCTAATAGAATGCAGTGTATATGGTCGGAATAGAACTCTTCAGAATCTCAATCAAAAATCTGATTCGAATAATCTTAGTAAAACGTTTACTTGCCACTGAATGTACACTTGTTTTGGATTTAACAATAACCGTTACGTCATATTGTATTTCAGCCAATCGCAGCCTTATGGGCGGGACTAAATAAGAAAGCGGAAGATTTAAAAACGATGATGGCGGCTGAAAATAATCCTCAAAATTATCACCAACTGGACGAAAGGTACCAACATTTCGTTCATGATGTTTTCAAACGATCATGTTCCAAAGTTGTGATATCACTTGTAATGTTTGGAGATGATTAGTGCTAACTTAATAACTAACTACTACTCAGAATAGCAATTTATTATGGACCTTAGCGATAGCCAACGTATGTTAGCAAACCTAGCAACTAACATTAGCTAGTTAATGTTAATCCACTATTTAATGATAGGTATCATCCTTCTTGTGTTTTACCTTAACTGCTGAATTTTAGGTACCAGGGTTAAGATAAGCAACTGATCCTCACGATGAACCCTAATTCCGTCTGGATGTTTCTTTCTAACAGGAGGAGAAAATGCAGTGTGTTTATCAACCAGGAAACGTCATGCACAAGTTCGCCAGTGATCTTTAACCCAGACTTCTTTGTGGAGAAACTGAAACATGAGCATCCGCAGACCTTTACGGATTTGGTTCTTAGTAATATCACTCGACTCATAGACCTTCCTGGGGAAGAGTTTGCTCAACTTATCGGAGAGTCTGAGCCTAGGCTGCTCTCCTCTAATGGCTTTCTACGATCCTTCAACTTCCTGAAACGGAAAGGTTAACATAACCATTAGTGTGCTGATGTGTTTACACTCTCTGGAGTGCTGTTGTTGACAAATGTGTCAAGTTATTTAATTGTGTTTTTGCTTATAAAGGGGTAAATAACTACAAAGGGCTATGCTTCATTTATCCATAGACCATATACTGCCTCTCATTATGCTCATTAATTACGACTTTGTATTGCATTTATCTCCACTATGGCTGAAATTACTGTTTTAGTAATTTATTATTTTAGTTAGTCATTTAATTAAAATTTTAAGCACACTGTAGAGGTTTTTATTTCCAAAATGTTCTTGTTTAAAGGTAATGTGATTTTCAGCTGTAGTATATTATAATCAGTAGCAGAAGGGTCCATATGATCTATGGAACTTATAAAACTGATTATTAATTATTGATGTTAATGGAATAAATCAAGCTGCACTTGCAAAGCGTACGATCATATCATTCTCATTATGCGCTTTCATGTCTTTCAGATAAAGGTGTGGTTTTTGGTGCACCATTAACTGAAGAAGGAATAGCACACATCTATCAGCTCATCGAATATCTGAGTCAAAGTAAGTATTACATCACATACTTGCATAACTTCTAACATGTGGGCATTTTTATCCAGAGTAGTTTGTGATATCATGACTACATGTGTCTTGCATGCATGACCTCAGAAGGAAACAAATGACTAATCATGGTAGTATTTGCATCTGACAAACTCCACTAAACACTTGATTTGAATATCTCGTGATGTAAGTAGTAAAATTGCTTGAGCAGCCTCTATCTTGATGTCTTATAAGAACAGAATTTGTTAAGCATCCCTGCTGTATTCTAACTCTTGCTCCTGGCTCTTTAACTTAGTTGGAGCATGAGGTCATGGTTTATTTCTAGAAAGTGATGACATCATTCTCCGAAAGTGGGCACTGAGAGCAAATGCTCTAGTCAATAATTTATCTGAAAGCACTTTGCTTCTGCTGTCTACCCCCTTTCAGTTCATTCACTCATCACTTCTCACTTTTGTGTCTGTCTTCTTCCGTGTCTACACTCCCATAGATTGTATCTGTCTCTTTTTGCACCTAATTTGCTGTCTCTCTCCATCTTTTATCCCACCACTCAGACCTTCATGTTGAGGGGTTGTTCCGTGTTCCAGGCCACAGCCTAAGGCAGGCAGCCCTGAGGGAGATGCTGAACACTGGAGCAGAGATAGATCTAGAAACAGGCGACTTCCACCCCAATGATGTGGCCTCATTGCTCAAAGTATACCTGGGAGAGCTGCCAGAGCCTCTGCTCACACACAGACACTATCATGCTCACCTGAAGATTGGAGGTGATATTTGACTCGTACACAGATTCTTGCCATATTTCATGATACGATTATTTTCAGATCAATGTACAGTCAACAAAAGAAAATGATAGTCTCTCTTTTGCTTTGTGGCAAATAATTGTCTTATCTCTTGTGTCCAGAGCTGACTCGCTTTGATGATAAAGGGGAGAAGACAAATGTGCCTGACAAGGAGCGCCAGATTGAGGCATTTCAGCTGCTTTTCATGCTGCTCCCACCAGCCAATCGCAGCCTTTTGAAGCTCCTGCTGGATTTGCTGCATCACACTGCTCGCAATCAGCACATCAACAAGATGACAGCTATTAATCTAGCCACAATGTTTGCTCCACATATCATCTGGCCCAAAAATGTAAGGTCCTTAGGTTCATTTTGTTCTACCTTCTAGGATGTTACAACCCAACTATATTCCCACTATGCGTACAATCAAGAAAAATAAGTTAGTTTCTGTAAACATGATTGTTTCTGTATGTTGTAGGTGATGCCAAGTCATCTGCAGGGAGACGTTGAGAAACTAAATAATGGCATAGCATTCCTCATCAGGCACTCACAAAAACTGTTCAAGGTAAGCATCTTTACATCCTGTGTCTCTGGTGTTGATACGGAATTTACTTTCATGGCAAAACAATACAAAGGCAGGACTTTTTAAATTTAAATATGATTTGAAAAAGCAACAACAACACAAATCAGTACATCACAATCATGTGATAGTGATCTGTCCTCTATCTGTATCTGTATCTTTTCTCTATGCTTTGTACAAATCCTTCATGGGAAGTGGCATTATTGTGGCCAGTGTTAAAGAAAAGCAAAATGACAAAAAATAAATAAAGAAAAGGAACTATTTACATGTGGATGGGGGATATTTGTGTATAAGTATCTCACAATCAGCTGCCTTTTAGATCTTGATGTTATGCTTATATGTTTTATTCACCTACAGTTATTTTTCATTTGCTATATTGCACACCCAGTGTAAACCTTCCAATTCGGGCATTGGCAGCTTTAATGTACCATTTATTAAGATAACTGTGAGATCTGAATACCAATCATATTAATCTACGATGCAATCTATACATTCTTTCCAGTATTTAATGTGCATGTTTGCTTTCACTGAAGGCTCCTGTATATATCAAAGGATATGCCCGCTTATACTACACAGGATCAAAATGTCTTCAGTCAAAGGTGAGCATTGTAGATCTTTGTCTTTTCCTCTATTAATAACTATCTTAATTAAGTCAAGTCAAAGTGTTCGTTTGTACAACGAATTTCTTACTTTGCCATCCACAGAGAGAAAATATTTGCATCACATTACGTTTAAAGCGAAACACTGCTGTTCTCTCATACATTTGAGTAAATCTAGTTATGATCTTCTATTGTTTGCTTGTCTTTTTAACATTTGTAGTTTATGGTTTTACCTTATGTGATATTATGTGTGATTATCTGGTTTTATTCTACTGTGAAAAGCACTTTGAATTTCCTAGCATATGAACAGCGCTCTATAAACTGGCATTGACATTTCTCGATGATGCTATTTTCAAAGTTCCCACAGTATTTTTTTTCCTTTGCCAACATTTTAGTCCTGTAACTTCAGCTTCTGGTTATATTTAGATAGCTCATGTCTAAATACAGAAGCTGGTATCTGTTACTTAATAGAATGATTTTCAAAGGACATTGAAATAAAACTTTGTCTTCAGATTTTAAAGCTGTTGTTGCACAGATGTTTGTTCAGCTGTGACTCAACTATACACATTTTCTTATGGTCACATCTCTTGAGCCAAGTTAGTGGTTTTAGTGAGATAATCTGAATTTCTGGTCACATTTCTGACGTCTCTAGGATGATATGACTCTCTGCTCTGGGACCAAAGATGGGCCCGTGGCTACAGTAACAGCTGCCTGCCCTTCTCCTTCCATAAGATCAGTCAGAGGTGAGGTCAGCAGCGCCTGTACTGGCAGGTCATCTGAAACACAGAGTTATACTGAATCTGCTCTCAGAGAGCTGTACCAGCAGGTCACCAACATGCCTGAGTCTGCCAAAAAGAAGAAGCTCATCAGACAGGTACAGGAGGTCAATATACACAATGTTGAGGATAAGTAATGTACAAATAAGCTACTTGCAACCCAACTTCTAAAGGTGTTGTGGTTTTTTGTGTTTAGTTTGAAAAGCAGCCCTCGCTGACACCTTCAGCTGACACACGGACACCGTGCAGCAGAAAACACTTGCGTTCACGCTCTTTGGGTGGAACGATCAAGGTTTGTTCACAGTAACGTGTACAATCATAACTTTCATGCCACTTTAATTGTGAGAGTATTTTTTATGCTCCCACTGAAACAACTACTGAATTAATGGGGCCATTGTTAATGATGCTGTTGAATAATTTTTTGATCAAGTGCATGTACACAATGCAAGTCTGGAAATATTTCAGTATTTTTTGATAAATGCATGTTTGTAAGGTCTCAAGGACGCATGCATTTTGATAAAAAAAATCAAATAATCATTCAAATATAATGAAAAATCTATCGAGTATCTTCAATGCAGCCTTTCCCTGTAACGACTTTCTGTTTATAAAACAGAGGAAGGTGTTTGGAAGCCAAATATTGATGGAGAAAGAAAACGGCAGCCTAGAGAGTCCTCTACCCAGCAGTGATGGCCAGGGAAGACATGACGGCAGCTGTGGAGGAGTGAGTACTGAGTTGTTAAACAACAAAACAGACTTGTATTACATCATGTGATGACCTGCGCCAACAGGAGCAGTCTAGAAAGTAGTGATATACTCAATGGAAAGGATTAAAAATGATCTAATCTTTTTTTTTTTTCTCCCTCCCATCTCCTCTAGGATTAATCATCTTAAAAAATGCTTTCTTCACAACTAAGGAATAATCAGCTGTATCTTCTTGAGGTATTGACACAAACTAAACTAAAGCTTGTACAGCTGGGTAATTACACCGTTTTCAATCTGTAGGCAGCTTTTATAAAAGTAAATCTTAGGTCTTCAAAGTTGGTAAGGTAGCAAAAAATTCACCATAGTTTCTTTGTTTTGCTTTACTTAAGCTAAGGGACATAACAGTGACACTGTCACTGCTTTATTTTAGGTCAGTACAATTTGCCAGTTGTCTTACCAGTGTACAGGGTTTACCTTTTAATGTAATTATTCTTGTAATTACTCTACATGGCACCAGAATCTGTGGGTATGTAGCTTTATTATTGACTGAAGCAAGTTTTTATTTACTTAACATGTCTGTTTGTATTCATATTTTATTGATCATCTGGATATTTTGAGTCCTGGAATTCAGATTATCAGTTCCTGATAAAAAGTGCAGGTTAAATTAGTTTTTAAGTTGTATGTTTATAGAAAAGTGGTGAATTCAGAGATGTGCCTTAAAATGAATGTCTTCAGTTTCTGTGTAATGCCATTTTTATTTAACATTGTTCTTATTTGTTCTTCTACAAGTTCCTGTTATATCTTAAAGTATGCTGACATTTTTATAAATAATCCATTTAATGTCAGTGAGGGAGTGACAACAACAACAGGCCAAATGACCAGTTTGTGTGTATTTTATAGTTTTTTGTTTTTTTTGTTTCTGCTTTAGCTCAGATCTTGGGTGTCAACACTGATACTTCAAACTATTGCTACTTTTAAAACTCCACTTTGGGTTTTCAACTTATTTTACTCAGGCCTGTGTTCATTCTTCTGGAAATTGTATACCATTTTATAGCTTTATTTTTATACCTGCATTGTGTCTTTCCAAATGAGGATGGATGTTTGCCTTCTATTGTGGTTGTTGATCCAGGTGCTTTCTGTGAGAATTTGAGCCACCGTCAATTTTAAAACCTCCTAGCTGTCCTACTCTTTCACTGGCAGTGTCCATTTCAGAAGTCACTCTGCCGAGCTGTTACAGTTGAACTAAAATGTGGTAATTGCTGCACGGTCGCCTTAAATGGCCTTGTAAATACATGATATTGATGCCACTGTGAAGCTATGCAATTCACTGTAATTAAAAGGTCAGGCTCCATTTTGTAGTTGCTTTTTTCTTTAAAGTGTCAGAATATGCACTTTAGGAAGTGATAATGACATAATTATGAACCTTTTCTTGTTTCACTACATCTAAATGAAGGTAGGATGGTGTTTTTTATTTATTCATTTGCCCTCCCTGGACTGAACAGTGCTGCTGTCTGCAGCTACAGTGTATGATGCTGTTTTACGTGCAGCCACAAGGCGGTGCTGTTTTGTTGCAAATAACAGTGCATCTTTGATAAAAACACATCTGTTGATGCAATAAAAATAGAGATGTGTCACTATGAGATAGACAAGACTATACCTGAGCTGTTAATTGCCCAAATAAATATGCAATGTTGAATATGAACATTTCCTCTAAAGAACCAACAACAGTAAAAATGTAGTTCTGTAAAAGTTCCTAAAGAGAAACAAAACTTAACTAAATTCTTGCCGTTTACAGTAAATGATTTGTCCAAATTGAGCCTATGTTATGGAGTGGTGGGCGAGTGGGTGGATGGTCAGAGTAAAGGCAGTTTTCCACAATAGGAGGAATGTCTCACTCTGTCATTATGGTGTCCATGTCAATGCATGTTTGGTATTGTAAGTATAAGTTGTAAACATCTGTGCAAACGGACCCACTTTTTCTCCTGTCCTGTAAATATACAACAGGCAACGTCCATGCTAGAAATAGTATTGTTTTACAGCCAAAACTCCAGAGGGGTCTTATTTAGCTTCCCTGCTCTAGAATGAAGAATGAGCTATAATCAGCTTCATATTATCCTGAAGCGTGCATGGTGAGTGGATGTGATTTTAAATGGATGCACTAAATTGACTCTGACTCTCTTTGTGTGCATCTCCAAATAATGGGATATGTGTAACAGGTAATTTGCAGGAAAAGGAAAATGCAGTTCAATTCAGAGTCGCATGCTAAGAAGCATTATTATTATTATTATTACTATTATGGTTGTTGTTGTTTGCCTGGACAGTAGAGGATTTTTGTTTCTTGCCCTTGCTGTTATGCACACCTCCTTTGGGGTGACCTTTTGTGTGTGTGTGTGTAAACATTTCTGGATGCTAAATGTGGTTTCTTCCTATTTTCTCACTGTCAAGCACATTTCAGTTTTGTGTGGCAAGCATGCAATAGTCAGCTGACTCAATCCCTTATTCAACCACGAGCAGCTGCCAGGTTCATCTGAACACTTTGGTTCTTTTATTCCAAACTTTGGGGACAATCTGTAGAAAGAATACTTACTGAATTATGGAAGACTGAGATTTTAAACTTGGTGTTGTTCTACATTGTAATTATTTCCTCATTTGAGTCAGTTGTTGTTGAGGTCTTGTGTTTTGCCAACTCTCCTTTCGCAGACCAATTGTAAGTTGCTGCCATGTTTTTCTACGCCTTTTAGAGGAGCAGAATAATTTGTGTGCGTTACGATCACGACTCTGTGAAAGCAGAGGGACATTACTACTACCCCCACATTATCACTAAACACCACCGTCTCCTCTTTAATTGGCCGTTCATAGATGGAAGGTCTACACTGCACTGACACTTTTACTGGGACAGATGGAGCTATTTTTCTTAGGTGTGTATTTGTGTTAATACCTGCATGTGCACATGGGGTGTATACATAGGCACATGATCCAATCTGGTCAAAAGTAGGTAGATTCACCTAAAGTCTGTTTCTGCTCGCGTTTTCTGTGTTTCTTTTTTTTTCCTATTGTCTGTTAAATTGAATGGGGTCTGTAGGTTTAAGTGCTTGAGCTGATATTTATGTTGGGAGGGGACCACCCCACAGCAAAGCCCCTTGTAGAATTAAAGTGGTTGTAGACGGTGGTTTTAGCTGAGAGGGCAGCCGAGTAAAGCTGAGCCGTTTGGTATTGCTGTACTATTGGTGATATATGTGCTGTTACCAAGCCGATGGGTAAGGAACAAATCCAGGACAAACTTCTAATTGATAAATATTTAACAAGTTAATGAGTGATTTGGTAACAAAGAGGGAGCAGTCCAAAGCAAATCAGTCCTGTGCACATAGAACTTTTAATTGCTATTTACATGTAATAGGAAAATATTAGTTACTGTTTTTGTGCCTTTCAGCAGCTGATTAAGCCTTTAGCAAGAGTGATTCTTTAAGAAAGTGATCAGTGTGCAGATTCACCTACAGGATCTAATCAATGCAAATTGCTTCTGAGTTGATTCTTTTCCTTGGTAACTCTCCGTTGTCTTTATCTTATTTTAAAGTGCCACCATTTGTTTTATTGTGTGGATAACTATACAATTTGAACTGAACTCATCAGAATAAGAAGCCTGTTTCCTGCCCACATCCAGGATTCTGATGTGTACATCCACGAACTGCAAATACATATCCATCTGGAGAAGCTTCCTGAAAGCTTCAGAGTCAACAGCGGCTACTCTCATATATCTACTGTTTTAACAAAATGTCAACCTTTGCAAAATAATATTTATCAAGAATTCCTGTAAAGTAAATAATGACCTGCAGGTGCTGCTTATCATTCATTTTGCTCCTCTCAGCACAGCCCAATTGAGGTCTTTAGATTTTGAGTCCACTTCATGCACGATATGTATGGTGGAGGCATTGTGTGTCAGCTTCTGCTACAAATCTAAGTAAGAGCCGTTATGGTTGTGATCGTAGCCGTTTGTCTTTTCATTTGTATATATTAAGATAGAATCTGTTTATGCGCCCATCCTGTGCTTAAAACATAGTGTTGACTTACTTTGTATTGCTGTGGTCTGCCTTCATAACAAATCATGAATATTTTCATGTCTGTGTGCCTTTTCCCCCTAGTTCCTGGCTGCAGCGTGTGTGTGTGTGTGTGTGTGTGTGTGTGTGGCCACACTTGATCTCCATGTTAAGACCCACACTTACTGATTATTTATTCTGGCTTTTTGCCTCCAATGACTGAGGTGTTGATTCCCTTCTTCCCCAGTGGATTCTCCTTCGATACATATACGCATTCACTCAAACACACACTCACACAGCCCAGTCTCTCCACAGCTTCTCCCTTCAGGCAGGGGTTATGCAGTGTCAGGCAGGTTAGGGCTCTCTCTAGGGGCTTGCCTGGAGGTAAAACCTGAGAGAAAAGGAGTGGAAAAAAAAAACTGAAAATGAGAGATACTTGTCCTGGAATTGAATTGTGAATAGAATCAAGGAAACGAAAGAAGGATTTCAAGAATGAGAGTGAGTTCAGATAGGGTTCTGGGGGGTGATGTGTGAGGAGGGAGAGGACTGGGGGATGAGAGGAGGGGTAGGGGTGGAGTCGGGGGCTCAGCTATTTGTAGATCCTTGTGATGGATGACTTGTGTGTGTGTGTGTGTGTGTGTGTGTGTGAGAGAGAGAGAGAGAGAGAGAAAGACTGGCTTTTTTTTCCTTCTGCCCTTTCCCTATTCCCTCTCTCTTCATGCGAGCAGAGCAGAGCGAGTCTGAATGAGAGGAGGACTGAGACACAGACGTACGCAGACCCAGAGCACAGCAACTCCACAAAGACAAGAGAAGAAGAGTTTGCAAGGAGCAAATAAGAGAACGAAAACAGCAAACTGTGGTGGATATCAAACCTACATCAAAACAAATCTACAGGAACAGAAAGGATTTTTTTTTCCTTCACACATAAGAGGAATTAATTAGCATTGTTATATTTTTTTCTATTTATATTCACCGCATATATAAAATAATTCTAGAGGACTTGTGAGGTGTAGCAGGGCTCCTGGTTTTTGCAGATAAAGGTAAAAAGTAGTAGGGTTTGGTGAAGAGGAGCAGGGTACATTACTGATGAATATGCCTGTTGGAGGTTGCTGTTCTGAGGCAGATATGGGCAGGCTGGCTGGACAGCCACTCTGGATGTGGGTGGTGATGCTCTCTGTCTTGCTCATGGGTAATGCTAGTGCCTGCCCAGCCCTATGTACCTGCAGCGGCACCACAGTAGACTGCCATGGACTGGGTCTCAAAACCATGCCAAGGAATATCCCCCGCAACACTGAAAGACTGTGAGTACCATCTGTACTCTACCTCCTTGTGTGTGTGTATGCCAGAAACAACCTGACCGTGTCCCCGTGTCATCTTTTCTCACTGTTTCCCATCTGTTTATTTGCTGTTTTGTAGTAGTGCACAGGAGTTTGCTTGGACTGGAAGAGAACAATAATCCTGCCTGTAAAACCGTGTGTGTGTGTGTGTGTGTGTGTGTGTGTGTTTGTGTGTCACTCAGTCACTCACTGGCATTCCAGTCAGGAATAAATAGGCACGAGGGACTGGAAAGAGCAGGAGCAGATGCATGCCTTTCACATATGTCTGTAACTCTGTGTGTGTGTGTGTGTAACTTACTTACCTGCTTGTTTATTCTTGCTTTTCTAAATCCTGAAACCAAATAAATGGAGTCTAATTTTCGATCTATGTTTTTATATGACAAAGTTTAAAAAGTTTTAAATCTTAAAGTATTGTAAAAGGGAACCTCTTTTGTGTTTGTGAATATGTTTTTGCCACTCATCTCACGAGCCCTGTCTGTAGAGTACTGTGATTTTCTTTACCTTGCCTTTTTAACTTTCCTCCACTCCTGGGCCAAAAGCTCCCGTCTTCCCCCTTCTCATGCCCCTGAACACTCACTCCACAAATTGTTAAATCATGTAGAAAATTAAGCAAATCTACTACTTAAGTGAATCACGTAGTCTTGTAAGATGAAGCGAGGGTGGGAGACTGAAGGAAAGGTGAAGGCAGATGCCGGCTTGCAGTGTGGAATTTGTCTTTTCTGACATTCCTCTGAAATATTCATTAGTAAATCAGAAGTGAGGAGTGCATGGGGAAATAGATTGTTCTGTTTCAGCTTTTAGAATATCAGTCTTGAATAAAACATGCTGCGGGAACGGGAAGAACAAAGCCTATGTCAGAGGCAACGTTTGCATAGTGGGAGCTGACTGCATATTTTATGTTTTTGATATTTACTTTTTAAGAACACTTTTTTTTTTTTTGCCTTTAGCAGTCTGCGTGTTTCCATGTTGCTTATGTGCACATGCTGGCTCAACACTGAAGCAGAGAGGAAACATGGTCATTTTGTGGCTTCCTTTTACATGAATGGCCATTCACGCTGGAAATATACCCTGCCCCTCTGCTCAAGAGCATTTTTGTATTAAAAGTTGTTTGTGCATTCATAGAGTGCATATAGCAGGGGATTTTATCATTGTAGCATCTCTGGATGTTTTCAAGCACATCTGGCACACTCGGGATGCTGCATTTTAAATGTGATGTGTGTAAAGGTCACATGTAATTTATTCCTGGGGCATTGCCTTTTTTGTATGTGTGTGTGTGTGTGTGTGTGTGTGTGTGATGGTGCATGTATTAGCTGTGTGTGTAGGTCATGTAGACGATGGTCGATCTCCATAGAGAGGTAACGCTTAACAATAGAGACTTTCCTCTTTTGCAGGTTGTCATATAGGGTGATTCATCAAGGGGAGTGTGAAAGTCATCGCAGCCCTCCCTGCCCGCATGATGGTCCCATGAGCATAGCTAGATTTATATCTATGTATTCTGAAAATGTGTGTTTATGTGAATGAAATTGTGCAACCCATTCTTGGGTCAGAGATGGTTAATGACTATGTGACGTTTTTGTAGAATTATCCTTTTTGGTGGCTCTTGTTTTTAGAACATTTTAATTAGAAAAAATGTAAGTACATTGTTACAAAAAGTGGCTGGGTTGTTTTGCTGCGCTTTGTTGGCAGGAGGAGGCATAGTACTGCTGCTGCAAAGAAAAGCAGAGGCAGAATAGAGGAAGCTGCTGAAGTAGAAGAGGTTGCACTTTGTTAGGCTGGTTTGCTGTATATTTATGGGTATCTGTGTGAATGCATATGTGTGTGTTTGCACTTATTGTACAGATACAGTGTAATTCTTTTGGCAGAGTGTGTGTTTGACAACAAGGAGGCTGGTTATGGAGGGTGTGTGTGTGTGTGTGTGTGTGTGTGTGTGTAAGTTGTAAGGAGGGTGTTGAAACTGACAGCAGAATCCCATTTGCACTTGTCAGTGTGGCTTTGGATCAGGTCTGACCCCTGTGCTCCTCCAAGTAAAGCCTGTAATGAGAATGGGAGCTTCACGTGTTAAAATCACACCCCGCCTCATACGGGCCACTGGCTGCTCCCTCCCCCTTTCCTTTGCATGTCTTTCTATCTGCATCTCTGGGCTGCTTCTTTATTTATATGCTGTGCAACAAATCTCATTAACATTTTAATCAGACCACACTGATATGGATATCGGACCCCATGGGGAGAAAATGAGCATCTGTAAAGATGAGTAAATTAACTTTATACAGACAATAAAGGTTGTTAATTATGCTTTTAGGTGATCAAGTATTGACCAAACCTGCAGCCTTTCTCTTTCTATGTGTCATCCTAATAAACCTACTGCTTAGATTAAGTGTGCATCTCATCTGTGAATGAGTTGATTTGTAGAAAGGGAGGAGCTATGTGCGTGCCCATTCATTTAAGTGCATAAAGCCAGTGTATCCATGATAGATTTTCTGTGCCAGGAAATACCCCGAACTGTAATTGAGGGGCATGTTGGAGCTCCTCCAGAATAGAGGAGACAGTGGCTGTGCACCATATGTGTGCATTGGTGTGTCTGTTTTCAGCACCACCACTTGTGTTTAGCCATAAAGTTTTAACATGTACCTTTATATGTGTATGTGCATGCATGCAGTGAATAAGTAATGAGGGTTAGAGGCGTTTGAAGACGAGGGGCTCCCTCACTTTGATAACCATGTTTTGGAGGTGGGGCATCTGTGTGTGTGTCAAAGCACACCTTCCAAGACTTTCCTTGTGCATTTCTGCCACATACAGTATATGTTTCCTCGTGTGTATGTACACTCACATGTGTACATGAGTGATTGCTTTGCCTGCCTGTCTAAGATTGGCTGAATCTCTACTGACCATGAAAATCATGTTTGGGGATTCCATCGGATCATCTTTCAGAAGCCCATCTCTGCTTTAACCCCTGTGGTTAGTCACTAAAAGAGGAGAGTGAAGAGTATATGTGCGCGTGTTAAAATGTATTTCAGTACACTCTCTGCTGATGTGCCGTCATACTCCACGTTTCATGCTAGTCAATGTGCTTTTGATGTGATACAAGTTTTGTAGGAAACTATGGGCAGCATTCCAGATGCAAAGGATGCTTGAGCTCTGCATTCGTCTGCAACACACTTTATCAGATCAGTGCTGTGTTCGGTGCAGCAGTGAAGTGCCTGCCACCTTATAGTTGTTTAATCTTGTAAAAACTAAAAAATATATTTGGAATTTCACATGACACAAAAAACCTTAGCGCTGCTGACATGCAATAATGTTCATTTTCAGTTGATTTGTATATTTTCTTAATCTATCTACTAATTCATTACCTGCTTTGCCCATAATATGTCAGAGAATTCAAGGTGACATTACAAAAGGCTTGTTTTGTCAGTATAAAATCCAAAGAAACTGGGTTACCTGTTATATATGAAGATGAGATATGATGAGAACGGAAGCAGCAATTAAAACCATAGAGGTTATCTACTAGCTGATGAGCCGATCTCTGTAGAGAGCTGGAGGAATGCTGATATCATCTGGCTCGGTGGCGGAGAGAACTGTACATAGGACAGTTCTTTATTCTTAGTGATCAAAAGGCAGATTCAAACACATTTGCAACACCAGTCAAATTACCAGTCATCAGTGCACATCTGTCAGGCAAACATCTCCTCTGTCCTCTGTATGGATTAACTGAACCATAATAGATGTGGCAGAGCAGATGTTTTGTCCACATGATAAATTTTACAAAGTACACATTCATGAAGCCTAAATGCCTTCATGCAGCCTAAATGCCTTCATGCAGGAGTCAAAACCACAACAGAACCTCAGCATCTGTTACTGAACAAACTGCAGATCCAGTATACACCGTAAAAGACCTTTCAGTCTGCTTCTGCTACATCCCTATGTGTGTGTTCTTTTTCCAATCTGTGACAGTAACACATATTGAAACAGATGTTTTATTGATTCACTCCGGCCTGAGAGAGTGTCATAAGTTATCTATGTTTGCAAGCCTTTTCCTTGGCTGCTTTTTCCCATTTCTTACTTTTTGCTTACAGCAGCATCTGATACATAAAATAAAACGGTATATGTGTCTTTGTCAAAGTTGTGGTTGTTGTAGTGTGAAGGCCACGTTAAAACAGCAGCAGACAGAGGTTTGGCTTTGGTGCCATGACTTTTACCCGCAGCTGTTTATAAAATGAGACAGGCTACATGGGTCAGAGCTCTGAAAAGTGGTTGTGTGTTTGTGTGCAATGCATGTGTGGTTATCTGCTTGATATTTACCTTTCCTATCAGTAATCTTGATCCTGAAACCTGACTGAGCTCAGTGAAACCTCTACATAGGCCCTGAGGAGCCCAGGAGCTGGGGAAACACTCTTACACGCTGAGTACAAGCACACACTTAGAAGCTTGCTTGCAAAAAAACACACTAAAAATGTACAGTTGAGGCCCTTAACTGCTCGTCTGAAAGCCACATTTCAGTGGAGAGGGAATGTTTTGTTCAAGCTGAGAAGAAATCTGACCTTTTAGTGTGGATAAAAGTGTTCCAGTTGGGTTTAAGAGTGTGTTATTTTAGTCATGGTGGTCTGCGTTCCGTCTTTTTCTTTTTCTCTCTTTCACTTACTCAGTCTCTCTATCTGGGTTGCTGTGAACCTGGATGGTACTGCCTGATCCTGTAGCCTACTAGTATGTAGGTCACTTTCTCCTCCGTCCACCAGCCGTCCAGGTCTCATCTCTCCCACTGACATTTCCCAGAGAGCCCGTCAGCTTGTCTTTACAGTCCCCTGGCTACCTGAAACACTCCACTACACTTCTCCACACCATCACTTTTAGGCAGCTAACAGCACTGTCAGAGCAGCGCTGTCTTCTTTCTGTCTCTCTGTTAGTCTTCTTTCCCTTTATCTCCACCTGTGTATTTCACAGCTGTCACATCCATATGTCTGAAAGAGGAAGAAGAATTCACATTTCCACAGCTTGTTAGCTTGTTCGGATAATTTATTAGCGAAAGTGCTTGCTGGTCTGGTCAAATAGCATTATCACTGTGTGATGGTGGTTAATGAGCATCCACACTTAGGCTGTATGGGTCCTCAGCTCTCTGGTTATCACGCTGTTTCCACAGTGAGGAGTTTGGATAGCACCTTTGCCACCAATCCTCAATCAACTGGCTTCTGTCTTCCCTGCCAGGCTAAAGCTGTTCAGGACAAATGGTCCTGTGGTGTTAACAGCAGTGATACAAAATGAATGCACTGCTAAAAAATGGTCACTTTAATAAGTCACTTAAATCTAATTTCAAAGTGGGGGCAAAATTCATTTCATTCTAGTCAAAATTCCTGGTTCATTGTAGATTACAGTCTGATTGAACTTGGGCCTGCAATATAGAAAGACTCATCAATGTCCAGCTTTACCTCTAGATGAAGGATACTCATGTTGCTGTTGTAGTTTCTTTGCCTGTATACTGCAACTATGCCTAAAGTAAATAAGCAGCTGTACTTGCATGACCATGAGTGTTGATAGAAACAGAAGATAAGGAGAATGTGTATGATAAGATGTGCATTACTTAATATAGGACCTGTATGATGAACTGTTTTCAATTTGTGAAATGTATTGTTAGCCTGCTAGCTACGTTTGCAACGATCGCAGCCCAGGAAACATTGTATCTTCTTATGCCTAGTTTGTGCCACAGCCATTGAATATGCTTTTTATTGCCAAATTTTGTAGCTGCAACCATAAGACTATTAAACTGAAGCTTGGCTCCAACGGTGACCCACTGTGAGTCACATCTAACCCCAGTATTGGGACACAGTTCCCTGTGCGTGACAGAAAAAGAGTGCGACCACAACATTTGCCACGCTCCCTCAAGCCTAAACTCTGAAGTGTGGCAATAATTTAACACATCAGTTCAAAAAATTGTTTCAAGTCTGCCTTTATTTTACCTTTTTTTAAGTAACTGACTCATCGTTTTGACTTGTCTGCTAGCCCACACTGTCCCACTGTGTCTACATATATTCTTTTTAGTTTTGCAGCGTTTCTGCATAAATAGATAATGTTGGTGAAAAGCTGTACAGCAATTTTTTTTCTCATGCTCATTATATGCTTTTACTCTAGCAGGCTCCCAACAGAACACAGCTGCCTTTCCCACAGGTGCTGTTGTGTGCATGGCAGTAGGTGTGCTTCTGTGCATTCATTGATAAAGTATATTTAAGTGTGTTAGAAAAAAAGCAAACTGTATGTGGATATTTTTATCTGTGTCAGTGTACACACAGTGCATAGAAGCCTTCTCTAGACGTATCCTTCTTCTAGTGTTAGGGTTTCATGTAATACTGCTCAATTCCAACCAGGTTCCCCTCAGCTGAGGCACCCCAGCAGCTGGCACAAATAAACAAAATGAGTTCTCAGTATTGTAGCAGTGCTGTGAGCCCCGCTGAGTTATAAAGATGTGGAACAGTGGAGCATAGCTGCCACATGTCTACCGGAGGGAAGGTACATCAGCATCAATCAACCTAGGATGATAGCGATGCCATAAATCTACTCTCCAGGAAGTGTATCAGCCCTGGGAATCCTTACAGAGTTTCCAGAGGATGGAATGGATTTGACTGACGATGCAGAAGGTGGAAATCCTTTCTTCCTTCCTGTATGAACAGGGAGTGATACCTAATAATTTTCAGCCTCTAAAGCCATACTGCAGTATTGTAATGTGAAAACCCACACGCAGTCCATACTACAAAACATCTGTCTCTGAAAGTCCCTTTGCTGGTGTGTCAAAAAGCTTTTTTCCCTTTCATTGTAAAATAAAGAAAACAGGGGTGACTGATATTGAAGCTTATAAACATTAAATCTTTGAGCCAATGACTCTATATATTACTTTGGCATCTAGTGCCATTATTTAACTTTGAATCAACAGAGATGAGCACCCCTGAGTCCAGACTGTATTCATTTCTAGACTCCATATTCTACATTTTTGTAAAACTGAAGTGTTCACCAAGATTCGCTCATCCATGTAGAACTTAGCACAAAAATTTAATTGTCAATTGTATCCCCCTACTGTGTGTGTGTGTGTGTGCATAAGCAAAAGTTACTTTCTGGTCTGAAGCTGATGTGAATCCCAGCTTCTTTCCATCAACCAGAGCATCCTTGCAGACAGAGGAGTAACTTGGCAAATTTCCCCAGAGAAATATTCCACTGAGTCAGCAGACATAATCAGATCAGTCAAGCACCAGGAGCTTTAGGACTATATATGGCAATACATTCTTATCATAAAGTGATGTGTTCTTAGGAACAGTTCCATTTTTTATGAAAAATGCATGCTCAGGACAGTGGAATTTAGTAAATGTGCTATTTACAGCTCCGCATATAAGGCAACTGCAGAAGGTCATGTTAATATACACAAGCCCTCAGTCCTTGAAGCAGATGGGCTCCAGTGGGAATGTTATTACCTGGCCATTTTCAAAGATTTGAAAACATTGAATAGTTTCTATTCTGAAATGCCAATGGAAAAGGTCAGATTATGTCAAAAACAGTGTGGATCCTGACTAGGCTAAACATCATAGGGTGCTGGTGGCATTTGAGCATTGCCTAAATGTCACAGCATTGCAGCTTGACGTGGTTTTTAAGATGGACACATACAGCAGGATAATGCAACATCTTCTGACGGTGTTTCCAGGAAAGGTAAATTTAGTTCATTTACCACACCTCTACTACAAGAACATGCTGAGATGTTGTTGCATAATGTTCTTGATTAGTCAGCTCTGGAGTATGCACAGAAACTATGGCATGTCTCTTATTACAGGGTAAAACAAGACTTTACTGCTGGAGGAGAAAAGTGTGGTTTCACTTGTTTGTGACTCATTTTACCCACACATTCCCCCTGTTGCCCTTCACTTTATCCATCTCTTTCTCCTCTTCTATCTTTCTCCTTTTTAATGTTCTCCAGGTGTGATCAGCAATGACCACCCTGAAGACAAGACATTGAGAATCCAGAAGTGTGTATGTATGCGCGGGCCTTTCTGCGTAAGCCTCTGTAATGAGCACCACATGTGTGCGTACCAGAGCCCAAGCTAATGAAGTCCAGTCTATTATTTATTTCCCGTGGCCCTGTCGCTTGGCCTGTTGATGCACACACAATCTGTCTATAATGACCATTCTCTTCCGTACTGCATAGCGCTACAGTCCCTGGAGTAGTCATTAGATGAGAGAGAGTGGCTGAGGGGGAGAGACCAGTGCTTTTAGTGTAGAGTTAGAACCAGGTTTTTGAGTCTGCTTTGGGGTTTAGGGGGCTGTGGAGTTGGGTAGGGACCTATAATGTTTAGAAATAGCAGTAGCACAGAGATGCTGCATATTTAGATTTCTCTCACTACCTGGGTGGCTGGTATGATTTGCTTGCTTTTCTTTCCTTCTGTCATGAGAATACAGTCTGCTACTGAGGTTAAACATGAATCTTCCATGGTGTTGTGCAGCAACAAAGAACAATACAAACCTTTCTTACTGTTTATCAGCAGAGTAACTCAATCAACCAAACTACTGAGGGGGGTCGCAGTCAAGTTCATCATGTTACCATTAGAGTTATCAAATGCACACACTTTGGATCGAATTATTATTATTAGATGATTGTTAACTTGTAAGGACAGTAAATTCATAACCTCTCTTTTTTAAAAACTTGTTTGTTTTTGCCATTTTGCAGCAATGGCCAGCTTCCAACAGGGAGGCTGCTCCCATTATATCCACAAGACTTAGCTTTCTGCCCTTGTGGCACTAACCAAATCCCTTCTGTTGGCGTCCACTAATCTCCAACAGTAGTAGAAGGATATGGCAGACGGAATAAAAATGACAGGAACAGAAAAATTAAGCCAGCAATTCAAATGTGGCTTCCATTTTATTAAGACTTCTTAATATCTTTCAGTGGAATCATATTGAGAGTGAACTCGCCATTAACATAACTGTTTTAATTCTGTTTTGTGCCTGAAGTGTGTGGCTTTGTGTGTTCTCTAGATAAGAATCCGATTCCAGTATCAGTAGACAAGATACCTTCCTGCCACTGTCTGCTCCTTTAGTCATCAGGCCGAACAGGTCCAGTTGAAGACTAAAGATGAATTATTCATACAAGTTTGTGTGTCTGTCTTCACAGGGAGCTGAATGGGAATAACCTCACACGTATCACCAAAAGTGACTTTGCTGGGCTAAAGTACCTCCGAGTTCTGTAAGTGCTTCCCTTCATGTTCATATGAGATGATGAGATGTTTGTATGTGTATCTGTGATGCATGTCGGTGTCTGAGTTTATCTATCCATGCATGCCTTAGCTGTATCTAACCTTGCAGCCCACAAGTTGTACAGACTTGCTGCTCAAATTAGCATAAACCCAGTGAAGTGGAGATGCTTCTGTCAAGAGTCCTACTCGAGATTGCATTAAGCTACCAGGTGACTGCAGCTAATGATGTAATGGGCTTTCTCACTGTAGTCTGCCTATTGTAGTAGCACTTAGTAGCGCTCCCTTAGACACATATGTACACACACTCACTTGCCCTCTTCTCCCACGCATCAACATGAAATATACACAGTTAACACATTCAGGTGAAGTCACCGACTCCCTCTGTGCTGAAATTAAAGAGCACTTGAGACTTTAAGTAATAAACTAGTTGTAAAAATGTGAGTAGTGAGCAGCAAGTAGTGCAATAGGTATTAAAAACATTGCCGGAGGGGAAGCTGTGTAGACCTGAACTTGTTTTAAATGTAACAGGAGCTGCACATAATTCCTACTTCCAGCAGAGCCTGACTATTTTCAAGCCTCATTATTACTCGCCCATCCCCCGTTCTCCTCTTTTTTTTTTTTGCTTGTTCCTGCTGCTCCTTGTCCCCCCCCCGTCTTCCTATGCTTTTCTGCACCAAAGACATTTAACCCCCACATGGAGGTTAACTGTCTTCATGTCGCCAGCTTGTCACTGGCAAGTAAGAAGGAAGCCACTCCTTGCAGGGGTAATAAAGACAAAACTTCCTTTGCTGTAAAAGCCTCTGATTCTCTCACACCACTGCGAGTGTGCTACATGTAATACACATGCACGCTCATGCTGCTCGCTTTCTGAAATGTCAACCAACCATAGGTGCACAGCATGTCTGTGTGTGCAACCAGGAAAAAAATCTGCCTTTATGTATAGGGGGTGACCTCTGTGGGTAGCAGTAGCCAAAAGACTAACAGAGGTTTGACCTCTGATCCCACTGACCTCTAGGCAACCCTGTGAAGGAGCCAAATAGGCGAAGAAACAGAGGTTTATCTTTACAGTCAGCCGTCATCTATCCTGTCTCTCGAAACTCAACACAGCTGATTTACCTCCATTCATCTGGCACTGGATGCTCAGATGGTCTAAATCAGCAATGCGTGTGTGTCTGTCTATGTGTGAGGAAATACAGAACAATAGAGGGGAGGGGAACACAAAGTAGCTAGAAGGAGATCGCAGAAATTTAAAGGCTACATACCCTCAGACTGATTGTGAAAAGTTTTGTCAATTCAAAAGTACTCATCATGATTTTTCCCCACTTCTATTTAAATTCATGAGAAAAAGATCAGAGGTGAATTGCACTTTTCTCTCTATGTTTATGGAGTGCAAACAATGATTAGCATTTATATTTGATGGGGAGGAAGTCCAGACTGCTGAGTTGCAGCACAGTGCAGCCTCACATGAGACATGAGCGGTTACCTTCAACACAGAACAGCTGTATACGTAATGAAGAAAAACTCTTGTTCCTTTTACAACCTCTCAATACTTTTCTCTCCTTCCTGACCTTGTGTTATTGCAACACTTCCAAAACCATCCAAGCCTCTTTTTTTGTGCCCATTAGCTTTGGCAAAGTCAGTGAGGAAAGGATGTGTTCCTGCTTGTGTCTGTATACTGTATGTTTGTGTGCATGTGTTCATGTTTGTTTGGATATGAATAGCCTTGATGTAGTGCCTGCAGCTCTGATACTGTCCAACTGAGCTATCCGGGAGGCATGTGTATACACATGGCCTGATTTCCCTTGATTGTGCCAGTTACACAAACTTTGGAGCCCACCTCAGTTTCTCCTCTCACACTTTCTGACATGCCCTGCCTGCCTTGCATCTCATCTCCTCCCAGCCACTACACACAGTGGACCACACCAGAGTCTGGACACACACTTTCTTTGCCACCTTGGAAACTTTCCTGGCTGCTATCCCTGCATTATTTGCCAAGATTACATACTGTGCCCTAAGTCCACTTCATTGCCTTCTGTGTATACACTATGTGTGTGTGTGTGTGTGTGTGTGTGTGTGTGTGTGTGTGAGAGAGAGAGAGAGAGAGAGAGAGAGAGAGAGAGAGAGAGAGAGAGAGAGGGAGGGAGTACGCATACCGGCCACCCAAATCCCAAAGTCCCCTATACTGTGTTAAAGCCTGAGTGACGGTCTACAAGCTCATGAGAAAGTTAAAGCCGCACTGTATCACATAGTTTCTAAGGCTCTCTTTCTGTCCTCTCTCTGCAGGCAACTGATGGAGAATCACATTACCGTGATCGAGCGTGGGGCTTTTGATGACATGAAAGAGCTGGAGAGACTGTGAGTACCACCCAGGTTTGACCAGAAATAACACATTTTTGTAAACTTCAAATGAAAATCCTACCCTTTACTGATCTCTGTTCAGTTCTTGTATTAGGTAAGTGTAATGAGCATAACAGTAGGAACCAAATGTAAATGGTGTATCAAGTGTGGGCCACTTCCCTGTCATTCCATTATGGTTGGATGAGCGCATCCAGCGTGGGCTGGGGTTTTTTTTTTTTTTTAAAGCTTTGCCTGAGCGGAATGCCCTCAGTGGGTTTATGTGTAGGCTTAAGAGGCCACCCCCACCACAGACCCTGGCTCATCTGGACAGCACCAGGACGCCTTGACAGCTTGTAAACCGACTGGGAAAACGCAGACAAACACAGTCAACCACATTTCAACCAGCTTATTAGCAAATCAATAGTGCTACCCAAATGGAAACCTGGGCAACAGATGACTCTGTGGACACATGCCGTCATGCACACATAGCGGTTAACTTATAATAAACTTTCCCTGTTCTAAAAACCCACATTAACAATTTACATTGCATTACTCGCCTACTCTTCCCTTCCATATTCAAGTGATCCCAAAAATTGGGTTAGACATATTCATGTGCCAGACCAATGTGGAAATTAAGCGGCTCGTTTCTCTAATGTTTAAAAGCCACTAACCCACCAGCAGGTACAGTGCAGTGTGAACGGAACGGCGGCAGACCATTAATGCCCATTAAGCACTAAATCTCACCTCAGCTGGCCAAGCACTCTTCTCAGTGTATACAGTGAGTGGCGCAGATCCCAACATCTGTCTGAAGGCACAGCAGTGACCTGCCTTTCAGATTTGCAGACTCTCTGTGCTGTAGTCATTGCATTCACTCCCATGTGCCTTCAATGGGCTATTGAGGGAGGAAGAGAGCTGTGGTTTCCAACAGATTAGCAACAGTCTGTTTCTCATTGACTGAATTGTTGTATTTGCATAAAGCCTGCCAGTCTTGGACATTAGTTGTTTGACATGTAGTCTATAGCCAATCGCCATTCCTGTCATTGCTTCCTTTGCCTTGAACAGACTCACCCATTCCTCTTAATTTTTTTTAGAAATGTCTTGCATTGATAGTTCAGATAAAATCTGTTCATGTTCCAATAAGTAGTGGATATAATTCACTAGTTTAAATGGGAAGCTTGCTCTTCTGTTACTCTGGGAAAGTCAGCAAAGCACTGAATTCTATTAGGCACTGCATTGTAATTTAACTGTGCTGAGATAATTTACAGCACCGTCTCTGACTAGCAGTTTAATTCCCCCAAACTTTCAGCTGGATATTTATGTGACATTCGGAGCACACTGAAACACAATAGCCTGTGGCTAAGCCCATTCTACAGCAGCTAGCAGAAATTATTCACAGCCTACACACTTAGGGGCACACACGCACAGACACACACACACACACACACAGACTCACTAGATGATCATATGTTTTCCCTGCCGCAGGCGGCTGAACCGTAATCAACTGCAGCAGCTTCCTGAGTTGCTGTTTCAGAAGAACCCTGCCCTGTCTCGACTGTAAGTACATTACCTTTTTTTAAATTAAGTATACCCTCATGTTCTCTTTTCTGAGTGCACACACAATTTTTCCTGTTATTTTTGTTATGCAAGCCACCGCTATTGCTCAGAAATCTTATTTAACACATCTATATACTGCACCACATTGTTTCAATATACATCTAATCAGTGTTGCCTTTGGTTTGATTTAAAAACAAATTAAAGAACAATTAAACTTCAGTTTTTTACTTACTACAATGTCGCTAACAGTCTAATTAATTAAATTTAGTGTGTTAAGCCTATACTATGATTTCCACTATACTTGTTGTCGGTAAGATAAAATGAACTGGATGAATGAAAATCTGAGTTCTTTGCATATTGTTGACTTCATGTCAAGTCACACACATTTTACTCTGTCTGCGAGCGACTCCACGAGTGACAGGGAGGTGGTTTGACACTGAGGCATAAGGGACTCATTAGACTTTGAACTCTATGCCAGGTGATAGGATGTCTGTGTTATTGAACAAGGTCTTTATGTCACCACTGTCTTTATGAGAGCCCAATCCCCACTCTGCCAATGGACTCCTCCATCTTATGAATGAAATGTGTCGCTCCAGTCTTCCTTTGGTTTCCGGTTGTTAAGGCCAGTCTGTCACATACTCACTTATGCACCCCATGCAGAGACAGTACCACAGTAATCCTAAACTTTTATCCACCCCCCCCATTTTCTTCAGCATAATCAGCATCCCTGTTGCTAGCGGATCATTTCAGCCCCCATTATTCCAGTTTAGATTATCTGGAGCATCTGGGAATAATGAAACAGTGGGGCGTGGAAAAATCTTTTCCCTCTCTCCGATCCACATAGTGGGTACCATAAACCGTGATCCTGTTTATATTGCATTTGATGTTTAGCACCGTCTTGAAACTGTCACATCCTTGCGACTATCTCCCTGTGTCACCTATCATCATGCTAAAACGAGCCTGGGAGGCCATAAGGGCAAAGCCTCATCCACTGGGCTGATCTCGGGGCTTCCTAACACTGAGCAGCACCGAGTTGTCTGTCTTGCTGGAACAGGCGCAAAGCAGACCGAAGCCTTCCAGAGCAGCAGAAGGCCTTGAACAAGGATGATTAGTCCATCTGGAGCACCAGCCCTGCCAGCAGCCAGAGGATTGTGCTAACACAGCTCCGCTGTTTCATCCAGTCTAACTTCATGCTCATTACTCTAAACCTAGCTCTGGCTTTTCTGCCACATTCTGGAGAATGAGACTGTTTAAAATTGCTTAATCAATTTGTTATGTGTCTGTGTATACATTCATTTGTTCTTTCTCCTTGGCTGGGCAAAAAGAAACATAAAAGACCTAGAAGCATTTCAGGTGTGGAGGTGCCATACATTCTTTTATGGTTAAAACCAATGCACCTTCCAGGACCAGGAAATTGAAAATAATGCAGTCTTTATGGTGCTTGTGCTTGATGGACAGTCACTATTTTATAACAGACAACTTAGTGCTTGTTAAAAAAATTAGGTCTAGTAAAATGGGATCACAAACAGCAGTAGAAGACAAAGGTTTTCCCTAATGTGCTTCTTAACCCCTGAGTGGTGTGTCTGGGTTCTGGTTCTAGTCTGATGTGGTTAGGTTACAGCCCTGTCTCACTCCTGCCTGCAGCTTTTAATGGCCTTAAAAGGTTCTCAGCTCCCAGAGGAAGACGTTTGCTGCTGTTTCTTGTGTGTGTGTGTGTGTGTCTGAGGACTAGAGAGCGTGAGACACAGAGAAAGAGAATATTTGGTTGTATATGTGCGTGTTTGCACTTGTGCAATGTGTTCACAGGGGCTTGTTAGGGTCTGCCTTTATGATCTGAACAAGAGAGGTTAATGTGAAAGCCTGCTGCCCTCAGGTGGAACACTAACCCAGATGGTTTCTCCTCTCTTGGACACAGAATTAATTGCCCCCTTCCCTTTTCTATTGTTTTTACGTTTTTTATCTTATACTCCACTCTCTTCTTCTCTTTTTGCTTATTCTCCAGTGAGGGTTTGAGGAAAAGCTTGTATAACAAAGCGTCTATTTATCCTAGACATCCCACTGAGAAGACAAACAGAAAGAAGGACATAGGGGACAAAGGAGGGAGAGATAGCAGATGAGATCAGTGCTCTCATTAAACTTTAGAGAAAGAGCTAGTTGGGTAAATAAAAGGCTGTCTCTTAAATGAGCAGTAGATTGTTTGCAGGGAGTTTTTAAACACTTGACTTCTGTGCAGTCATTAAGTCTTCACTACAAGGAAGGAAGATGGAGAAATAATGCACAAGTTCTTACTAGAACAGAGATTTTAGAAATAATTGCTTGTTCTCTTTTCAATAATTCATCTAAAACTTGAGCCTAACCTGGTTGAAAATCCACGATGTGTCTTGTTTCATGTTCAAAACGAAGAATTGAGATGGTGTCATTAGATTTTACTGAGCTACGTGTTTTGCTTTCTGTTTTGAGAGCCTACCTCTTTGTCTACACACCCATTCCAATGTCTCTTCCCACATCTATGAGATACCAGAGACAGTAATGCATGAGGGGCAGGGGAGAGATAATTGGAGTTGATTAGAGATTATTAGAGATAGTTAGAGTTAGTTAAAGCTGCCTGTGATGGATGGCACTGATGAGAAGGCATGGGAACGGTGGTGTGGAGGTGACAGGCACGGTGCAGATCATCAGTGAGCAATAACAGTGAAAATAGAGTTGCATTCTTCACTGTTAACAGCCTGTTGCCCCCAGCTCGACCCCCCTGGACTTTTCCTCATCCCACTTCCACTGCACTTCAGATCTGTCATCTACTCATCCATGTCTGTAATTAGCGTCTTTTCACAGTGGGAGAGCAGGAGGAAAGAAGGATCTTGGAATGGAAGAAATAAAGAGGGACAGGTGAGCAAAGCTGGAGGAGTGCAGAGCAGTTAGCTTAATAGTTTGCCTCAGGGAATAGCATCTGGTTTGGGATCAGGATTGGGGTTGGGGCCAGGAGAAGAGATGAGTGCGGTTTTTGATTATCATGTTGCTTGTTGCTGCTGCTGCAAACAAATGCCTGCAACTACACAGGCTTGTTTGAAGGGGTGCTGCTTTCATTAACGACTTTATGTGGTGGGGTGAGGCGATGGTTAGGAGAGGTTTTCCCTTGTGTATCTCCCTGGGAGGTGTGTTGGAGAAGAATGGAGGAGGAAAGGGTGCGGTAGGACTTGCACCACAGGGCAGCCAAGGAAGTCCTGGCAAGAGACTGGAGAAGGAAAGTGTCTCATCCTTCTTTAAGATCCTTTATCATTCATTTTCATGTTAATGCTTGATGACAGGTATCCTAACATACCCAACCCCTAAACACACTGTGAAATATTTACTGGGTGACAACAATGCACATGTGCACACAAAAAGAAAAAAGAGGGGAATAAATAACACTAACTAGACAGAAACACACAGAAAATAACACTATCATTACATTTCTGGGTACCTCTGTGTGGATGGTGTGCACACATGAGGGATTTTGTTCTGTATGTGGCTTTGACTGTAGATAAAAGAGCAATGCTGCCTGTTCCCTGTTTGTGTTGGAGTGATGCTGTTTCTGTTTGTTGGTTGCTTGATGCTTAGGGAACGGTAGTTCAGTGGGAGAGGAAATGTATAAATCATCTCTGTGTCACAGTATTCCCTCTTTGTTTTTGGTGATTGAAGACAAAGTATTTTTTCCTTTTTCATTTGCTGCAGAATGATTGCTTCTAAACTCACTGTGGTGTTCCAAGACTTTTTGTCCCACAGAGTAAACAAATTAACTCTTTCAGATTTGACTCATTTTGTGACTGTATGAAAGACAGATTTTTCTTTTTGCCTCAGGACTGTTTGTAAGTTTCTGGATAAAACTGTGCTGTGTCTGCGCAATGCATGTGTGTTTGGCAGGCTGTTATTGGACCAAGCTGGTCTTGTCATTTCCTTCTCTTTGTCTTTGCTGATGAATGACCTGCCTCGACGTGCTAGGTCTCTCTCAGAGCAGCGCTCGGGCCCCTGCTTGGCAGCAGTCCCCATGGAAACCAGTCTTTATCAGGAGGCTTCTCTGCCATCGATGGCAGACATTGTGATTTCTTGACTGTGGTTTGTCTGACATTAAGTAAACGCTGACAGCAAATACTTCTGTGGGTAAAGTTAACTTTAGACGGTAAAACCAAAATACCTACATACATCAGAGAAACTGGTTGCTTAAAAGGTCAGTTTACAGTTTTTACTTACCAGAAGTAGCATCTAGCCTTAGTTATAGTTAAATTTATCCAAACGTTATGATGTCTGTCTTTGACCTTTATGGTGCTCACAAAACAAACATTTAGGAGCAACATTTCTTTCCAACCAACTTTACAGGGACTGTTTTCTTTGGAGGGTCTGAAAAACGGTTCTCAGTGACATCAGTGGAGTAAACAGAGTAACAGGGACACTGGAAAGAGATAGCTGCTAAATTTATAAAATGTAATTTTTCAGTGCTGTGAGCACCACAAACAGAACTTAATTTCCCTCCATCATATTGGTATGGAGGGATAAATCTCTTATCAGAACCTTAATAAACAAAACCAAAACTGTTTGGCTCTCTACCGCTGGAACCAAGTACGAAAACCTTTTTTTTTTAATCCGTATGAAATGACTTTTTAAGTTTTAACTTTCTAGATGCAGGGCTAGAGTTTAGGATTTAGCCTTAACTTCTCGCCCCTGCCCCTGTTCTTGTCAGCTGGTAAAAGTGGCTTTTATGGCTTGTTGCTGTTTTCTTTACAAGTCGGACCATGTGCGAGAGAGAAATGCAGACCAAACCATGTGAGGAGAGCGGAAGCCAAAAGTGGGTAATTTAAAAACCATTTCACCATCTGAAATATTCACATTCACAGCACAAGGGGAGTGAGAGGATTAAAAAAAACAGACAAAGGAAGAAAGTAAAAGAAGTTCAAGTGAGACGGTCAAAGGTGCAAAGAAAAGGAGCAAAGACACCAGGAAAGAAAGACACAGCAGTGTTTATATTT